AGGTCAGAGTGAACAGAAGAGCATGTATTAACTGTCTGATCAGCGTCTCATTAACGTTTGTATATGTTAGGTGAATGACGAAGAGTTCTGAAGAATGATGCGAATGTCCTTGTCGCATCACACCCTTCGTAGCAAACCACTGTCATAATGTATGTGTTGCTTGTTGAAAACGGTAGTGGCAAGTTGTAGAGCGCATGATATTAAGGTTAGTGCGTTGATCTTGGTTATTATTATTTTTAAAGCGCAGCGAATGCAGGGTTGGAGCACATTGTATCGGTTGATGACTCAGGCAACTTGTCGCTTGTCAAAGGCATAATTATTTTCCCTCGTCGTAAAGATGAAGCAAAGCGGTCTGGAACATATATTCGGAACATGCATAGCTCAAGTGTTGTGCATACAAGCCCGTTATGGAGCCCGTAAATGTATTTCAGTATCTTGAGTGCCGACTCACGTGTGATTAGCGACGCTGCGGGGTCATGTTTGTCCCCGGGTGTCGTTGACTGTAGTTATGCAAGCCACGGCTACCATTAGGTTCTAAGACCCTGGCGTAATGCCTCTCGCGGAGCACGGGACGCGGAACTCGCCCGACGGTTGCGGTAATGGTGGCATTAGCGCAGCGCCACAACATCCCGTGCGCCGTCTCCGCAACCCCGGGTTAGGAGGCGCGGCGCCGTGCTCCCTCCGATCACGTCGGCGGGAGTCGTACAGTGACACAACATCCGCCTCATTCCACAGCCTGTCACATTTCGTCGGCAGAATGGGATCCAGACCGAGCAGATGAAGCAATACTCCTAAAGAACACCATCTTTATGGAGGCAGTGTGTGACACGACGGAACTAATGACCTACAAGCCGTGCTCTTTCGCGAACGGGATCCTCAGGGAGTCAACAAACACATAAGAAAGTCGCTGTCTACCCCGGGTTTCAGCATAATTCAACGAAGGAACGGAAATGGGAAATATTATGAAGAGTATGCAAAGACAGCATGTAGATATGTATGCGCTAGCAAACTTGACCCACATCTGCAATATTTGGACCGGGATAGTGATTAGTCCACTGAAGTGCAGATGATACGTGAAAGCTAGAAATAATTAATGACACACTTAGAGAATAGCGTATCTCCTTTGGGCGGGAAGGCGGCGTGAGCAGCCCGGCCATTTGAGCTGGCGGATATTGATGGGCAGGCCATAAGCGGACACATGTCTGAGAGAGGTGCGTCAGACCTGTTGTCGGAGCGCCAGTCCTGTGGCCGCGTCCGGGGCGGACGCCTTCCCCCGCCCCCGCAGTGAACTCTTGCCCAGCATGACTGCCGCGTTGCGTCGAGGGCTGTGGGACGGACTGGTATGCCGCCTGGTGCCGCCATTGAGCGGTTGCGTGTTGAGGACCCTGATGTCATGCACGCAACTCCACCGAAAGAGTGCGTGATTGATTGTTGCTGTAATCGCGGTCTGGCCCAGTCACCGCGGCTGTTTGGCGGCACACTGCCGAACTGTGGTGGCTTGCGCCGCCTACTCCACCACACACAATTCTCCCCCGCGCAGCGACCTGACTGGCCGGTGGCCGTCTGTCCCCAGGGCACCACGGGCCTGCCCAAGGGCGCTACGCTCACCCACCACAACGTGGTCAACAACATGCTGATGATGGCCGGCCGTGTGGGCTTCGACGCGGGCGGGGCGCGCATCTGCATGTCGGTGCCGCTCTACCACTGCTTCGGCTGCGTGGGCGGCTCGGTGATGGCGCCGCTGCACGGCAACACGCTCGTCTTCCCGTCGCCCGTGTTCAACGCCACCGCGTCCCTGCAGGCCACGCAGGACGAGAGGTGGGTGGTTGCAGGGGTGCGACAGCAGGACGGGAGGTGGGTGGCCGCAGGGGTGGGACGGCAGCACCGTGGGTGGCCGCAAGGTTACAACGGCAGGACGGGAAGCGGGTGGCCGCATGGGTAGAACATTATACGTGAGTTTTCTGACTTGGTTGCGTGAGAAGGTCTGTGGGCAGTTCTGACCCTGATTTCATGATACTAACGGCTTTACCTGGAGCTCCTATCCTATCCCGTGAGTTGGGTGTCTCTGGCTCTCTTGGGTTTTTATATTTCGGGGGTCAAATTGGCACCACCCCACCTGAGCGCATTGTATTAGGCCACCTGAGCCCATGCCGACTTATGGGTAACTTAACCAAAAGTAGCGGCATCCGATTAGTGATGCAGCTGTTTATGGTCCTCCGCCCTGGTGCAGCCTGCCCGACCCTGTAGTCTGTGCGATCGAGAGGCCAGTACACCGAGCCAGGCAGCTCTCGTCCGTGTCCCCTGACGCCGCCGCTCCGCCCGCCGCTCCAGGTGCACCCACATGTACGGCACCCCGACCATGTTCGTGGACATGGTGAACCTGCCGGAGCTGGAGCGGCTGGACCTGAGCACGCTCCGCTCGGGCCTGGTAGCCGGCGCGCCCGTGCCTTTCCACCTGATGGAGGCCATGATTTCCAAGCTGGGCATGCAGAACTCTGTGGTGAGTCGGACTCGGACCCGAGCTGACATGACCCGGCCCGGCCGTGTGAACCGGACCCCGCCGGCAGGTACGCGTGTGAACCGGACCCCACCGGCAGGTACGCGTGTGAGCTGGACTCCTCCGGCAGGTACTCAGGTGAACCGGACCCCACCGGCAAATACACGTGTGAACCGGACCCCGCCGGCAGGTACGCGTGTGAACCGGACCCCACCGGCAGGTACGCGTGTGAGCGGGACTCCTCCGGCAGGCACTCAGGTGAACCGGACCCCATCGGCAAATACACGTGTGAACCGGACCTCACCGGCAGATACACGTGTGAGCCGGACTCCTCCGGCAGGTACACGTGTGAGCCGGACCCCACCGGCAGGTACGCTTGTGAACCGGACTCCTCCGACAGGTACACGTGTAAACCGGACCCCACCGGCAGGTACTCGTGTGAACTGGACCCCACCGGCAGGTACACGTGTGAGCCGGACTCCACCGGCAGGTGTGCATGTGGACCGGACCCCACCGGTAGGTACGCTTGTGAACCGGTCGGACGTTCCGCTGTCGAACGGTGACCATGACGTTGTGTAAAAGAACGAACGCTGTTTTTATCTTGTTCGCTCAGGCAGGGCGGGTAATGTCTCTGGTGCGACAGAGCTAGTGGGAAGATGCAATTCGGTCCGGAGAAGTTTATTCCGTCGTGAGCTACTAATGCGCTTGCATTGTATGCGCGAGGAACTTACGCCTGTATGTAAACGCACTCGAGCGGATCTTTCGCGCACATGGAACTAGTCGATATCGAACACCATCGATATGCGGGTTTTGCTGGATGCGGCCAGTATCAGAGTCCGCAGCTGCACTTGCTGGCTTGTGTCCTCGCACATCGGGCGACATTACTGATAACGAGATGAACTAAAACCGCCGAGTTTGGCTCACAGTTTAATGTCTAATGTCATGTAGGCTCATACGGGTGGTGCGTACTTCCCTTTGAACTGTACTGGTGTACTGTAATCGTCTGCTTAGTGATGTGGATTGAAGGCAATTGAGTCATCAGGTACGTCAATGACGAGCACCTGTACAACGTCAGTACTGTTATGTAATTGTATACGCACCGTGTATAATTGTTTTGTTGTTATATTAACCTTGGAATGTTAGCCGAATCCATTTTAGGACGTTTTATTGCGGCCAACTTTTTAAAAGTCTGTAAAAGCAGGTCGCTAAAGCAACAACCTGCAGTCTATAAAACAACCTTCTCATTTTCTCTTGATATCTTTGCTTGACATGCGTAGTAATCAATATAGTACTCATCATTTCATCAAACGTTCTGAAACTTGTGATATCAGGTTGTCGCCATCTTGAATTTGACAAGGCACGCATTCCAAACGCATTTAGTTTGCTTGTTGCGTACAGTTATGTGCGAAGCCTATGGAAACGCGGTTGCCGTCGCCGATCAGGCGGGGATTGCAGTTAGGGAGTTCCGGTTTACCTCTGCACTTCTCATCAAATAACGGATTGCTTCATTCTGCCCGATAACAACCTGACCAGGAGCACACACTCCGTTAAAACTAACCCATTCACTCCAATATAGCTAACATCGAGTTTTTTTAAACTACGTGGCTGAACGGCTGTTCAGTTTGACTCAACGTACTGCAGGATGGAGGCGGTTTCAGTGGCTTAGTGTGGTGTAACGGTGAATGCGTTTCAGGGGTAAATGTGTTTGGAACGAGCTGCTCGTCGCCCCAAGAGGCAATCTAGTGCTACTCGTGAAACAAGGAAATTGAGTTGGGTTGGAGGTTTACCTTCTGGTGGTTGTAACGCTTCAATTTAGGCTGGAACATGTTTCCCATTGTTGGGCTGCAAAACAAATAAACCACGAAAAGCCCGACGCCTTGATTTCCCTGGGGCATTCGAAGTGCGGGCTATTCACGTCGCGTCTTATCAGTCGATGAGATGTTGCCTGAACAGGCCTGGGAAAGGTTGCTATCTGTAGATGACTGGTTATTGTAGGCTGTGATGATCGCGATCAGAGGTAAGACCAGTCTTGCCATTGCTAACCGTGTCTTTGCACCTCTAGATGCGAAGGGCCTTGAATGAAGCCTTCGCCCTTTTGCAGCTCTCTGCGTATGTCTGCGCACGCAATCTTGCTGCCTTGAACAGCTGGCGGCGGCGCATTTTCCATCGGTGGCAGAGGCTTCCGGACTGATGCCAGCACATGTTCATTCGTACCTGCACGTAGACTGGCATTACCATTAGCTGCGCCACCAATGGTCGGTGTCGTTCCTGAACATGATCGCAGTACTTAGCTTTGTTGTGCAGACAGAGCGCAGTTAGCTGTCTGCGTAGCCGTCGCAGACATCCAAGCAGCGAGCTAGATGGTTGTTTTCCAAGTTTGGTCGTCAGAGAGTGAGCGTCAATTTCACAAGCGAGTAAGTTTTGCGCATAATCGGTCCGCCTGCACGCTGTCCCGCCCTCAGCGCCCAGGGCGGTAGAGCTGATCCGTTGGCAGGCGGTCCCCCTCAGCGCCCGGGGTGGGAGAGCTGATCCGTTGGCAAGCGGTCCCCCCCCAGCACCCAGGGCGGGAGAGCTGATTCCGTTGGCAAGCGGTCCCCCCTCAGCACCCAGGGCGGGAGAGCTGATCCGTTGGCAGGCGGTCCCCCCCTCAGCGCCCGGGGTGGGAGAGCTGATCCGTTGGCAGGCGGTTCCCCCTCAGCGCCCGGGGTGGGAGAGCTGATCCGTTGGCAGGCGGTTCCCCCTCAGCGCCCGGGGTGGGAGAGCTGATCCGTTGGCAGGCGGTCCTCCCTCAGCACCCAGGGCGGGAGAGTTGATCTGTTGGCAGGCGCCCCCCCCCCCCCCCCCCTCAGCGCCCAGGGCCCGATAGCTGATCCGTTGGCAGGCAATCCTTGCTCATATGATGCTGCGTGCGAATGGCCACACACCACCGATGTGACAAACAGATCTGTATATGATGCGGCGTGCGAATGGCCACACAGCACAGATTCCCGCTGTCCTCACACACTTGAGTCGCATAAGATGTGTAGACAAACATAAGACATTACAAAGGTAAATTCACTTGTATTTGTATGCTTCTAAGTACATTACAACTGCACTGGACAACAGCTCCACTCTTTAGTAAGTATATTTCGCAGTACGTCATTGTTTGCTTGCGTCATAGAACACTTGTGTGTCAGAGTGGCTGCCAGATTGGCCGTGTCAGATTTGCCCCTGTAGTGGGCGAGCTGACTCACTTAAGGAGTACTTAACTCACCGGGAGGTGGCTTGTTAAGGAAAAAGTTTCACATTTGAAGATATTGAAGCAAGCATCAGGCATGATGAAACAAGCTCACTGATGACTGTTAGTATACTTCCTGAGTGGAAAAGGCTGCTCTAAACAGCATAATCATCATTTAGAAAATAGACTTAAATACGTCACGGTTTGATTACGTAATCGTACCTTGCACAACATTGAGGGCATCTTGACGGCGTTGGATCTGTAAATCGTGCTCACAAACGCCAGGTATGAACGCCCCGACAATAGCATTTTTGTTTGGCCTTGATCGCCGCATAGCTCGTGGAACGGCAACATTTGAAAGTTATTATGAGGTCATGAATGCCAAGTTGCTGGAATGCTCTCAACGAAATACTCTCCCACATTTTTGCGGATGTGTAGCTCAAAAACTAGAGGGACTTAGGTCTTAAAAAGTGCAGGGCTGTAAACAGCACCAAAAGGTCTTCGAAATGGCTGTTACAGCTCAAAACTCCATATAAATGTGGAACACTCCCTTTAACTGATGCGTGTGTACTGAAGGGGATATCGTTATGTGCGCGTGTTTTGGCCCTTTCTCGTGGTATTTTTGCGTATTTGTCTGTGTTAATATATTTCTACTTTCTTTCGATTGCCCGATTACGGCGCTGATTTTAAGTTTCCGATTCGCAGTTTCAATTCCGTCATAACTAATACCACTGCCGAAATTCCTGCATTATGTAGCACAAAGCGTGATTCGTATTCGGAACTTGCACTGGATGCATTACACTGGTTGTTGGCCAGCTCTGGTCCGTTGCTGCCACGAATCGAGGTGATCAATGATGCAGTTTTCCGAAAGTTCTTGTTCAACGTCCAGTCCAGGGTCCGATGTAGACTATCTATCCGTCCATTGTCCCCAAAATATGAGGTGGTCAAAAGATAGTATTTGTGATATCAAATAACTGCTACCTACAACCAGCAACCGCAGTAGCTTACTGGCGTCGCTTCATCCCTTCACTCGAATCAAATAAAAGAAGGCAAATGACCGTAGATAAGTAATGTGTGTTACAGGCTTTCTTGAGGACATACACAATTAACAATTCACATCGATGTATGCCAATCTAGACTCACTAAATTCGACGACGGCAGCTTAGTCGGATGGCGAGTGGTCATGAATCGTTTCTAGACCGGGATGAGAATCTAACGTGAGGAAGAAGCTTCTCCTGGTTTGTGGCTCCTCAGCTCCCGGTTTCTCGGGATTAGGGGTCGAAAGTTCTCATATTGAGGAAGCGACCAACATACCACGAGATACTGGTTAAAGTGCGTTGTAATCCAAATAACGACGATGTTGACCGATGACCGATAACATACATAGACACGCAGGTACACACAAACTAACTGCATTCTGCCATTATTCCTTAAGATAAAGACCAGTGTGGGTCAGTGCCTGGGCATTGGGCAGCAGTATTATGCAGTTACACGTGCGCGATGCCCCTCCATTATCTTGCCAATCTAGCATGTTCAATCACTTGAAATGCTTCATGAAAGGGAAAACTAGTTGTACATCCTCACCTTATCTCATGTCAATAAGAATAAAGGACTCAACAATGTTAGTGTACATTTCAGGTTGACCTAGCAAAGTCAGGATGTGATGACAAAAGCGACAGCCGTAAAACGACGATCGTTTTACGAATTTTGGGTATCGTTATACGACTACTATTTTACTATATTGGACTCATACTGTTATAATATTGGGTTGGAAAACCGGTGGTCG